AGTCTTGCAGTCTCCTAAACAGAGTAATTAATCATCTAGTTTATTGGGAATTCCAGTTGAAACAGATAGGATCATTACTGTGTGCCTGTGAACGGCAGTTGGTATTCACCTACAGGTAAATTGGATGACTGGTTGAACTGAGATTTCTGTTTGGAGTAATTGTGAGTATTTACAACTTGGCAATTAATTAATTTAATTTAATTTTTGAAACCATTCTTGTTCTCTCAGTTCGTTTCCTAGTCATTCCAGTTCCTTCCTTAAAAATAAACTCCACTTCCACGAGATGGGTGTATCTTACCTGGAGTGCACCAATGGGAAACGTGTCGAGCTACAGGGTGGAGTCAGCAGGTTTCAAAAACTTCACGGTGACCACAGTGTTTGCTAATGTCACTGGACTTGAACCTGGTACCCAATACTCACTGCGGGTCACAGCTCTGGGTGCCAACAGTGTTGAAATTGCTGAAGACATAGTCACAGGATATACAAGTATGTTGCCTACAAAGATATACTTATATTCCTTGCAGGACTACATTGTTTATTTAGCCACGCTAAAGTATTATTATTAGTAGTAGTAGTGCATTTTATTTCTCAAAAATGTATAAATACCAATTGTAATTTAATCTCTTGTGTTAATTGTTTTTGTTCTTGCTATTGTGTGGTATTATTTTACCACTTAATTCTGGTTGTAAAATGCCGTGCCTATATTAATTAAGGATAAATTATATGCTTTATATTCTCAGTCAAGTTTCCCTAAATATTAATAACAAATATATAATTAAAAACAGAAAAATAATATGCAAGAAACAATGATCATTTTACTTGTAAGATATGCATCCTCAACTGTTTAACATCTTAAATCTAATCTGTTCTTCAAACATTCTCCCTCCCCAGATTATCTACATTTTCCTTTAGCTCATCCCTCCCTCTCCTCTTGTTCCTTTGATAAGAACCTTGGTGTCCATCTTCTTAGGTTTTGTCTATTTTCCTGGTATTTTCACAGATCCTGAAGCGGTTACCAGTTTGACAGTGCGTTCCACTACAACTACGTCCATATTCCTCCAGTGGAGTGAGCCCATTGGAAATGTATTTAGATACAGGATTGTGACCATTGGAAATCAAGGCAATAACATGACGGTCAGCTCTTTATTTGCAAATGTGACTGGATTAGTTCCTGGTAATGGTTATACACTGCTGGTCATCTCTCTGGCTGCCAACAGTGTCACAGAAGGGACACCAGTCAGTATCTTCAATTATACAAGTGAGTGTCTATATTATTTCCTCTACTATGTTTGATTGTGGCATAGCAGTGAAAACTGGACTGCGGCATCTTCTGTGATGTGTGAAGTTTGTGTGATGTTCTTTTATTACACCTACTTTATACTTGTGTGGGAGTGGGAGTTTCTGGTCTTGGAGGACCATTGCCTTCTGTTGTGTGCTTCTGAAATTTATGCTTTTCTGATAATGGATGGATGAACTTCTATTTCTTTTCCTCATTATAAAGTCAGGGTGTAATCGAAAGTTGAACTTATCTACGATTTGCAAATTAAAAACCTCATGCTTGACAGAGGTGTCTTATTTGCCTGAAGATTTTTTGTAGTCATCTTTTTGGTACTAGCTTTGTAATTTGCATTGATCAAGTTCATTTATGTTTGTTGTTTTTTTTCTTCTTAAGCAACGACAGAATCAGTTTTGCATACCGCACATCTATTTAGCAATTACACTAGGTATTTTCTGGTATTTGTATACATTTTAAGATAGAAATTAATGTTATATAATTTTGTTTTCCAAGACAATTAATTGATATCTTGTCACTTTAACTTTTTCTCTTCTTTCAAGTTATAATATCATGTAATATTACAAAAGAAAACACACTTAGAAATTTAGAACAAATGTCTTGCTCTTCTGTACTATGAACTTGAAGAGATGAATTTAGAAGGATATTTTGTTCTTAATTTCCTACAGACCCTGACACCATCAAACATTTGACTGTTTATAACATCCGTTTAACATCCATCAGTCTCCAGTGGGATCCACCAGAGGGCAGTGCTGCTGCCTACAGAGTAGAGTCAATAGGACCCAGCCATTCAAGTATTACAGTCAGCACCTTATTCACTGAAATAAGCGGGCTGGTACCTAACAGTTCCTATATAGTGCAGGTTATTGCTGTGGCTGCAGATTCTAAAACTGAAGGACAACCTGTAAAAACTTCAGTAAATACAGGTGAGTTTAATATTAGTCACTTCCTGGCTTTTCTGCACAGTTAATAACAGTTGTAAACCAATGCTGCATCCTTACTTTTGTTTAGGCTGATTGAAGTATGAAATGAAATACTCTGTTGTACGTGATGCTAAGGTCCTAAGGCAAAATAGATGTATATGAAAATAACAGCACATTAATTCCATACTCATACTAATCCTGCCTTGTATATTTTTACACATCTTTTTTCATGTGTTGCAATGTCAGTTCTACCTTGCCCATGAAGCCAGCTCTTTAACTCTCATAGTACTTCAGCAGGACCTATTTTGTGTCTTTCTCAAGTCTATGTTACATTGGAGAAATCACTGTGCCTCTTGGAAAGCCAGGGGAAGGGTACAGAGTACAGCTTAAAAAGATAAAACACAGGTACAAGATCTGGAAAAGCTCTAGGTTTCAGATTATCTTCTTTCACTAGGAATAACAATACCAAAGAATGAATGACAACACCCAAGAACTATGCTGAAAGGATTATGGAGTGTTTAGTTGAAATTAGGCTTGACCCAATGGGCTGAGGGCTAACTTCCTGGCCGGAGCACGAGGAGACTGGGACCTCCCTGCAGAGTGAGGAGTGACCAAGGGGTGGAGATGAGGTGGAGGAAGGAGGTATTAGATGTATGCGAGGGAGAGAAGAGGATCACTTACAGTATTTATAGTGTTTAGGAGAAGAAATGACATCTGGAGGGGTTGCTAATTACTGACAGGCAGGTCTGATTGAACTTGGTTGTTGCCATCCCTATCGAACTTTCGTTATAAACTCAATTTTGCATTAATTATTTCCTTAATTCAAAGTAAAGTGAATGATATACTGTGTCTGATACAGGGAAAATATTTAGGCATCTTTTCCCTTATTTTCTGTCTCAGCTGAAACTAAATCCTTCAGTTTGCATTGTTCTTGCAGCACTTAGTACTAAAGCAGGTAGCCACGTACTGTATGACAAACATTCTCCTTAAAAGAAGACATATTGTCATCCGTTTTTGGAAGTGGGTGCTACCAGTCTGCTCTTGACATCAAAGAGAAATAATGTAAAAGATTATGAAAGTTCACTGAATAAAGAAAGGCTGTATCTCAATTTTAGCATAAGAAACGTAGCTATTAAATGGTTGGAGTCCCATCATTTCAACCAACAGCATCTAGGAACTTAGGACAGGTTTGAAAATAAAGAAAAAAATACACTATTCACTAAAACTGATCAGCAAAAACAAATCAGTATGATTCCTGTGACTTTTTTCCTTTGCAATCTCACACTTCTATTGCACCAGTTACAACAGATTCTCTTTTGTGAACATTTTTTGATTTGTCCATTTTGTACCCACCAATTTTGGAAACACCGGTTATACTGCTCAAAGTACATGTACCATTACCATCGTATATGTCTATGTCTGTAATGGGAGCCGGTTCTGACTCCCGAATGTTTAGTTTAGGACCCTATGCAGACGGTATAATCTGGAAGTGACTGGAGTAGGACACCTGGGGAAACACGGCAGGATCAGGATGGCATGACAGACAGGGGGGCGTGACCCTGGGATCCAGTGCTCAGGGGCGTGGGGCAGGGCGAACAAGTCCCACGCAGTCCAAATAGGGAAACCGGGGCACGGTCCATAATCCAAAACCAGAAGGTCCATCTAAGACAACGACAAGAATAAAAACAGGGAACGAGGACATGGAACCAGGAACCAGGAACATGGAAGTTTAAAAAGAAGGGCAGGGTTAAATAGGGGAAAGGCGGAACAAGACACAGGTGAAGGAACTAAACAAAAAACAAAAGAGAGACGATCGTGACAGTGTCTTTGTCTGTATACGGCTCAGATAAATAACCCCTGTGCTACACACAGAGAAAGGGCAGACTTGCTTGTCTGAAACAGCTACCCATGGAGCCTTTTATCAACACAGTCCAAGTTCCAGAGTGCCTGACTGGAGCAGCAGCTCTCTGTCAGGACAGCCCTGGTTGACCAGTCCTAATTCTACACCCTGGTGGAGCACAGCCAGTTGTCTGTCACTGCTATCAGTTGGAATCTCTTAACCACACACCTGGAATGAATCTTGACATCGATGTCTAGAATTTGACTTTTTCTCTCTTTCTTTTCAGGAATACCAATAACAACAAGGATCCAGGCCTCACTTCTTTCCTATGTTGAAATTAATGAAGAAATGGAAGCAGTAATTGTTGACAAGGTAATACATCTCAAGACATTTGTCTCTATCTTGCTTCTCTTTGAGTTTCTCTCTAAGTCACAATTGGAATAAGAAGTAGGAAATCAAGTTTTTTAAGATCCCCTGCATTTATAGATCATATATGATACCAATTATAATGCTTATTGAACAATTGACTACGAAATATGTTTTTACAATATTTGTGTAAGTGATATACAGGATGGTGATGTTTTGTGCTATGTATGATTTTCTAGAGTTTACCATTTGATATTGGGTGGAGTGTTATTATTTAAAATGATCAAAAATATTGAAACTGACTTGATTCTTAATGTTTTTATTTATTTCAGCTTAACATTTTAGTTCAGAAATACCTGCCAACCAACACCTTTACTCTGAGATGGAAAGGAAAAAGAAGACAAATCGTTTGAATGCCCATCTAATTCTCTCCAGCTGGACAGTAATATGTAATTAATACTTCAACCAATGGGAGGAAGTACTGTTTGTTTTGTTCTTGTATGGCAACGTAATTAGTTTACCTCAATGGCTAGTTCTGATGGACCAAATATGAACGTTTTCATTAATTATAGAAAGTAGTTTCTGACACCCTGAGCAATTTCTAGGCCTTTTTATGTCTATGATATTCGCTTTGTCTTTTTGGTATATGACTTAAAGTTTCTGACTGCAAGAGAGGTCTTGAAATCAGTGTCAAGATGCCTGTACAATTAATATGCATAACATTCTGGGGGTCCTATCAAAACGTAGGATGACAGGATTTTTTATTTGGCCAAATCCTACAAATTAAATATATGTATTTAATTGTATGAACTGCAAAAAGTGAATATTATGTAAAGCTATTTATATTTAGTTAGCTTTTAAACTTTTAAAGATTAATAAACGGGACCCTTAATCTTCAGATAATAAAAATTAAAATTCCGATAATTTTAATCAATTATTATCATTGACCATTTAATTGCCATATCATTGCCATTTTTTGTATCAATATGCATTTGCTTGTTCTAGATACTGAAGGGGAAATTTAAATTCTAAGACAGAGGTTACTAATATGTACTATTTGAGTTAAATATATAGTTGTGTGTGTGTGTGTATATATATATAAGAAGGCTCCACAGCCGAAACGTTGTTTTCTTTCTTCTTTTTTTCAGTACAGAATAAACCTATTACTTGTTCCTATATAAATATATATGTGTATCACATTTGCTTTGCCAGTAAATACATTTCCCACATAACACATTTTCACATTATTATATCACAAGGAAATGAACAAACACAGCACTTTCCAAGTGTATTCCACCATTAGAGCAATACCCAATCTGCAAAACATACTGTTCTATTCAATGAAGCAACATGTAAAACAGGATAAATTATCTTCTTAGAATATTCAAGGAGATTTATTTTTGTGATACAGAAGAGTACAAAAGACTACTTTTTGATACCTCTGTTTCGCTAACTGAAGTTCCTGGAGTTTTATTTTTTCTGCCAAAACTGAACTAAAATAGAGAGAAATACTTGCTGAGTAGTCGTTCTCTTGATTAAAATTGTTAAAATAATTAAAATCATGTTGATTAGTCTCCCTGCTATTTGTATGGCTTTCTTTGAAAGTTGAATATATTTTGGTCTAACTGCTGTGGAGAATTTGGTTTAACCTGCTAATAGCTGGTGCTGCTATAAAATACTGTGAATGAAATGCACTGTTGATATATATGATTGATATTGTAGCGTTGTGCCCCTGGAAGCAGTCCATCTGGGAGCCTCTGTACCCTGACCCCTTTGCCTTCTGTTTTACAGGCACTTTTCCCTTCTACCTGCCTCTATAAAAAGGGGCCCCTTTCCCCTACTCTCTCTTTCATACAAACCCATAAGCTGAGCTCCAAGCTTTGCCTCCTGCCTGCCTCTCCTTCCTAAGTGACTTGCACGCCCATGTACCAGAAAAGGGCAATCTCTTCTGCCTCTCTTGACATACCACCGCCTGTGCAACCGGGCAAGGGGAAACAGGGGGGAATCGCTGCAGTCTCTACAAATCTAGGGTATGTACCAGATGATACAGTTGTTTGTCTTTTTCAAAAATAAACACGATGCTTACTCCTGCACATGGTATGAGGAAATTGCATGATGGTTGAAGAGTCCAATGCAGATGAAAATAATAATGAAAAAAGACTCTATTATAACTATAATTATAACTATAACTATTACAACTAATTTTATTAGTTCAACTGTTTTTTGTTTTGCAGAAAATAGGAGAAAATAAGAACAAAACAGTACATTACAACAACCTTCATCACACCTGAAGAAGGCTCCACGGCCGAAATGTTGTGTTTTCTTTCTTCTTTTTTCCAGCATGGAATTAACCTATTACTTGTTCCTTTGCAGCCTACGCAGGCTGACGCAGCTGCCCACCTGAACTATTACAACAACACCACCTTCACACATTTCACACATTCGGGCTAACAGCTGCTTCTCGCCAAGATTCCAACATAATGACCCATAAGCAGTAATCACATGCAGTGATAAAAGCAGTGTTCATAAGGATCTGATCAGTCACCCACAGCACTCCAGGCTCTTTCACCACCTACCCCTGGCACAATGGATTCAAGTGGTAAAACATTTAGTATAAATGATTTACAGTACGTAAATGTAGCACAGGTTCCATTGATTCAGGTGGTGGGATCAGCCAGTCAAAACTGTTTTTTTTTTTCTGCTGCTGTGAAAGACTAGCATCAGAGTAAGGGGATGAGGTCCACATTGGGTAATCTTCTACATTCCTTTACCTGACCCCTGACAAACTCCCACTTTTTATTTTCCTCAAGTTTTCTACATGCTCGGGTTTTGCAGTTATCCTAATATACTGTAGGACTCTACCTAAAATCTACCTCTACTTCAATAACCACATGACCTGTTACTGTACTGTGGAAACTGACTTTAGCTGCATTGCATACAGTAGCTGTTCAATAGAGTAGCACAGTACTTATTCCCTTCCCTACCATTTTCATTAAACACGATTAGTAGCTGATCTACATACATGCCAACACACCACAGCTCAGCCTTTTTTCAATTTAATTCTTGTGCTGAGATTGTTGAGATGTTGAGATTCACTAATTATTTTCAGTATAAGAACATGAAGCCATTCTATCCAATTTGGTAGTTAATAGTTAAGCATAAGCACAGTAATTTGTTAGCGTCCTTTGGGACTGCTGAATATATCTACAGTACTTGCAGTACTGTGTAACAGTACATGTGCAGAGCATAAAGATTTGAACCTTTTCCCAGTTTTATCTTTAGTTTGTTTACTGTAATACAAGCATATATTATCCCTTTCTCATTTTCCCCACGCCTCACAGAACCTAAGGGTTTTGATAGTTACTGCTCTAATGCTAGTGAGTCTCAGAGGATGCCTTTCGTTACAGCTTGTATTCCCTGTCTGACACCTGCCTTAACTCCCCTGACTATGTACAATGTACAGGATCATGGCACTTGTCCTGTCTGTACTATAGGTTTCAGACATTTCAGTGCATCAGGACGGGCCCTGGGGCTTGGTAATAGGATCTCCTCAGGGTCTCAACAGGTTTTTCCTACCACTAAGAATTGCACACGAATCCCAGTACCTTAGTTTGTAATACACCTGTCCCTACAGAGTCCCTACACAACAGCCTCAGGGGTTACAGTTGATTGTAACTTGCCCCAATGGTTTATGATAAAACTATCAATGGAGCTAAATTTGCCCATTATTCAGGACCAGCAACGCAGCCTGTCATCCTCCTGTTTTTCTTAGAAATGTTTCCTAGATGTTTGCTTTTCCTCTGTGTAATATTGTTTATTGTTGTTTTTTTAGTGCCTAAGGCCTGGAAAAAAACTGTACTCTCGAGACTATCTGTAGGGTGATACAGTAGTTAACCCTCCTGCTGTAGAGAATCCCCCTTCACAGTCCATTGGGGGTAAAAACGGCTATAAGGAAACAGGAATAAGGAAGTTTTTCAGTTTTATTCACTGATGTCATCAAGGCAGCAGAACTGGCTTTCACCATTCAGGTGTCACGTGAAGTGACTTACACTCAGTAAACTGCCTCAAAACCTAGACTTTAGTCCACAGTACATAGAGGGTACAATTTTCTTTTATACTTTACTTACCTCAATTTCTGCTACAGATATATTTCTTAAAGTAGATAAGGGGATGAGGCCTGTATTAGGGAATCTTCCAACCTGATCTATGACCTACTGAAAGCTTACAAATGCTTGTTTCTTATACTGTCTGTCTGGGTACCATAGGCCTCCTTCATTCATCCTGTTGCATGTTGTAAACTTAAAGTTCAAGTTTGTCATTCCAGCCATATAGAAGTATACAGTGAAACGAAATATTGTTCCTCCTCGTCCATAGTGGAAATACAGGTAGGACAGACAGGACACTGACATAGACATTGTAGACAGGATACACATAGTGCAAAGTGCAGCCACATTTATACCACATCAAGTTCAGTTTAACCCTCTGATTACTTTTTTCCTGCACTACCCCAATATGAAATCTACTTTTTCACCAAGAATTTACATTTTAATGTTTTGTTTCAAAATTAAACCAGAGCTGCTATTTGCTGTGTAGTGTGTACATGTAAAGTGAAACAGGTACACCTGCCACAGTCTCCATGATATCAATGTGAGAGCATTCTTTTTTCACAGCCCTGCCAATATTCTCTTGAATTCATGTGCTGTTTATTGTGTTTGGAAAATCTGCAGTACATTTTGAGGTTGCTCCAATTTATTTACCACCGATTTATAATCATTCTACATCTATTTCTAAAAAAAAACTATAATTCATGCTGCAGAAGTCCATATTCACAAGCAATTCTTGCAGGACAAAATCAGTCAGACTCTTACTTGGGCTGCTTATCTTCAGTGAAGTTTCCAATTTTTTTAAGTGCATGGTATCTAAGAATGTCAGAAAGATCCATCACTGCTCCAGGAACCTAACATACCACCCTGTGTCCAATAGCAATGCACAAACAGCATGTCTGAATGTCATATTTGTCATTCCTATAGAAAAAAAAAATGTTGGAAAAGGCTGGGCTACGAATTTTAACTCAACCATCAGGTAGCAGTGAAATACAATCTTTAAACCAAAAGGGGATCAGCAGTCTTTGTGAAGAGACAGTGCTTCTCAAAACTGAAGGAATGTTTTATTTCATTTTATTTCTCCTTACTCTTCATTTTGACGTGGAAAAACATTTGGCGTCTGGACGAATAACAATAGGTAGAGTACGGCATTTTTATAGTTTTAGTAGGTTCATAGTTCAAATAGTATGAAATACTGTAGTTTATTATGGATAAATGTTCTAAATTGTTGAGTAATGTATATTTATAACAGACTACCAAATGTAAATGCATGCACATATCTCAGTAATAACAAGTAAAAGTTAATGTTGAATCAATACTGTTTGACACATTTATTCTGAACTCTACCAAAGAATATTTACAAAAGAATGACTGCAGGACAAAGAATAGAAAAATATAGCTTTTAGTAGATTTGCATTCAGAACTAAATATACTCACATTAACAATGTTTAAGTGAATCAGCTGAACATTTGTACAAGATGATGTATATTATTAAAAGTGTAAGGTCAGTAAAAACATTCTAACTCAAACTGAATTAATTGAACTTCAAAGGTAAGTATTTCTGAAAATTACACTAGATGTACTGTATCTTCAATAAAAGTTGCAATTGAAGATTTTTTTTCCCATAAATGTAAAATTTGTGTGGAATACAGAACGGTTCAGGCCGTTGAAGGCAATGACTCTAAATACAGGTTGAACTCTGTAGCTGAGGCACCACTTTTTAATATCAGATTAGGACCCAAATTGACCAAGTGGCAACACAGAACTGGCTGAACACTGGTAGTATAGAGGAGCTAGTTTTAGTACGGTGATGTCATCGCCCTCCCTGCGTGTAGCAGGGACCTCAGCCGCCCAGGTTTGGGGAGGTCTCCTTTAGCTCACTCGGCGGGTTCCCTGTGGCATTACACCAGAGACCCAGGTTCACGCCCAGGTGTTGCAGACTGAACCGGTGGGGTGGAGCGGCGAGGGCACAAGTCCGCACAGAACCATGACAATCACACTAGGGACCAGGCTGAATTTAGTTTGACTGGGCTTTCATGGACCTCAGCAAAACAGCAGCTCCTGTGTCATTAGGGCCACGTACAGGTTTGTTATGACATCAGGTTTTAATATGTTTACTGCATTGTGTTTAAATTGCTCTCTAACCAGCCAAGGAAGGATTTTTGTCTGAAACATCCCAAATTATTCAGATCATTTAAAGCTTGTCTGCATCATAAATAGCTTTTTTATCCCTTTTCAGTTACAGTATAAATATAGTACTGTATATATATATTGTAGTGGGTCCTTGTATTGTAATACAGACATGTATTGTAGTTACTCAGTTTTGGCCCAGCCCACCTTGATATTCATTAAGGGCATTAAGTTAAGGCCTGAGTCCGCATGGGGCCGATCACTGGTGTGTTGGAGATAAAAGAAATGGGAGCCTGGAGGCCTGGTCGGGGGCCAACAGTGCTGGCAGAGGGACAGAGCAGCTTTATCCTTAGTGGTGAGTGAGGATCACCAGAACAGCGAGATCAAGGCTGACCAAAGGTTCGTGAAGCAGGCAGAAGAGGGCTGGCGTTCAGAGCCTTTGGCCCTCCGTCTACAAGTTAAATCTCCCTGGAAAGGAGCGGCTGCCCAGCTATGGTGGTTTGGGGTCGTTCATAAGCCAGCTGGACAGGGCGGAGCAGGAGGGAGCCTGGTTGCAAGAGGCAGAGGTGTGGCTCCGACAGAGACTGCTGAAAAGAGCTGCTGATCGGGTCCTTTTCGTACTGGAGAGCAGAGTGGTCTGCTTTTATGAACAGCTGTGCACAGATTTCGCTTGGAGCTTTAGCATTTCAAGACCACCCCTGAGACATAACCAAAAACTGGAAAGTAGGCCATGTCTCACATTGGAAAGAGTGGGCTCCTTCACCTGGTGGCCCAACGTCACCCCTCCCTGCTCAGAGTAGGAAATACTGAGCTGCTGCTGTTAGCCTTCATGCGGGGGCTGTTGACAATCGCACCACCAACTAATTCTTCCAGGTCTTTCGATTGTAGAGGCAGCTTTCAAAATGAACTGAAGCTCCAGAGAAAAGCTCTTCAGGGTTGGAGGATGGTAGAAGACACCTTTCTCAATAGGCCAGGGGCTACACAAGGCCATTGAAGGGGTCACTGAGTGGACCACCATAGGACCTGTGGTGATACAGTTGCAAGGGTCTCATTCAAGGACAGCAGTGGCATTTTAATGAGTTTCTGTGGGCACTGCATAAACACCAGACTGGTGCAGCAGGGGATCAAAACCGTGCCCATCACCCTGCCCCCTTGATATCTACTGTACTGTAGCAGTACTAAGTGACAGAGGCACTGCAGAGCAAACAGAAAGATCATGGGTCTTTCAAAATGTGTGTATCCCCCCCCCAAAAAAAAGAGACAGACATTATAATTGCATCAGGAATTTATTTTCCCAGTGATTTGTGTTTATATATTAATGAATAATAATTGGCAACAACATCCAATAAGATTTTTTATTTAAAATAATCAATTAGCTCGAGTGATAGCATGTACAGTATTTACAAGTATATACTGTATAGCGAGTTACCTCCTTTGAGATTTTTAGAAACAATTTTCATTGTATATTCTAAATACACAGTACAAAGCCAGTGTGTAGATGTTTTTATTAGAGACGTCAATAGAGAAAAGCCTTTCTCCAAACTAAGATTTTGAATCTCATTAGTAGTTTTTACTACTAAGTATATACAGTAACTAAGGAAGCGAATTGCTGTCACCAAAGAAAAAATAGCACAATATCTCGTAATTATGAGATAGTAATTCTAAAAGACCTACATTATCATTATCTGACTTCCATTTTTAAACAGTGGAATCGATTCCAGGACACACTTGCTCTTGTTTGAGATTATGTGTGACTGTTTTCATGGTTAAACCTGTTTACAAGCCACACTGTAACATTTCATTACGAATAAACCCCAGGGGAAATTAAGTCTGTGCGCAACATGCACCGTTGCAGTGTCAGGAGCACTAAACACACAGTTCCATCAAAGCTATCGGTAACTTGTACAGTAGGTGCTGTCATTGCACAATGCAACAGGTTGTTCATACACTGAAATGATCATTGCTATCTCGTAATTATGAGATAACTCAACTCAAGGTTTTTTTTCCTTGATGACAACCATGCGCTTCCGGAAATGACCTTCTATTATTTTATAATTGGTGCACGTTTGTCCAGGTAATTTTACAATATGAAATATAATATAGTGTTACATAACAAACAGTGAAACGAAAACGGTTCGTAAAAAATACAGCATGTAAGTACGTGACCACATGTCAGAATATTCTAAGAAAAATTCCAGCTGCAACCCCATACCGCATCTCCGAGTCTCCGGGCTGGCTGAAACCGCCGCTGGAGCGGACTGAAAGCTGTATACGTTGCAGAAAGGATCCGTCTGCGAGACGCAAGGATGATGGAAAAAAGGGTGGCTTGATCACGGAAATGCCCGAGCGGTGGCGGAGAAATCTGAGAGAGGTGTAGGCGGAATGAGGCGAAGGGGAAGGCTGTACTGATGGTAATACCGAAGTTACAGACAGAATTGGGAAGCGGTTGAAGGTCGGAGGGTACCGATGCTGAAGGAGAAAACTAGGGGACTGTCTGCACCAGGAAGCAAGGGAATGCTTCATGGCTTGATGTGATGCAGAAAACGTAGGCAACTGGTAGCTGGTTCGCAAGTTTTTCGGATGTCGGGAGCAGAGAATAGCTCCGAGCACTGATGCGGTGGCGAGCTTGATTAGCAGGTTAGCTGACAGTCGAACTCCTCCGGTGAAGGCGGTGGGTCCATATGAACACCGAGGACTGGGACCTCTGACCCGTCCTTTGTAAAAGTATGGGAGTGCGAACTGGAAATGCACAGGTACTACCAATATCTTCTGCAGATGTATGAGTTATTTTATGACATATTTGTATTTATTTATGCCACAGTGTTATATCTTTTAATAAATATGAAGTTAACCATTTGAACTTATATTTAGAACTATTAATAGCAAAATTATATATTTTGACTTCCTATTTCTTCGATGTTACATAATAGAACTGGTGCTCCCACCTTCCACGGTCTTACTGGCTTATTTGTTTCACTGGATATGTCTAAGAAGTCAAGAGGTTTGCCAGTCAAACATAATACTTCAGCAACACAGCAAGTTCAGTTTTTTTAAGCGAAGAAATTCCACCCCTCTTCCTTTGGATGAGCTCTATGGATAAGCTTTGACTGTGGGAAAGCCATGGAATAACCATCTCAAACTGTAACCATGATTCAGACTGTGACAAAACCTCTGGAGATTGTTGATTTGAAATGATCACAACCAGTGAGCGTTACCAATGTGTTCAGGACAGCTCAGAGACCTGGTTCAATTGAAGATAAGATCACTTTATTGGCCATATACAATTTCTTGTATTAGAAATTTGTCTTTTTGCATATCCCAACTTGTTCTCCATAAGACACACAGACAAGGAGACAAGCTTGGGGTAAGAGCACAGTGTCAGCCATTTATGTGGTGCCCCTGGAGCAGTTGGGGTTAAGGGCCTTGCTCAGGGGCCCAACAGAGTAGGATTTCTCTGCCGGCCATGGGATACAAACCGGCAACCTTCCTTAGATCCTTAGCCACAGTGTCACCACACCGCCCCAAAAGGAGCACATGCAACAGTGCAAAAGGGAGTGTGTTGTTCAAACAGAATGAAGCACTCCATTAGTGCAGACCCGGATTCATTTGATACTGTTGTTGCTGAAATCATGTAATAGCTTGTAAATGTCACCTGACTTTGTTGCTTTGCATAATTTTTATTTCCTTCCTTGTTCCCGTGTTTCCCCACATACCAAACATTGAGAAGCCAAAGGGTTTTAAAAAAAACTAAGTCGTCCTGTCAATCAATGCATTAAGAAACTGTGAACGCAGTGATTTAGAATAAGTTTGTGAAAATGAAAAATATGGAAAATGAATGTTTATTACACTTAATTAATTAGTGATTACTCCTGTTTCAGTTGACTCTTGTACTGTTTGCAACTACATTTTTTGTTCTAGAATGTTTCATCTGCTTTACAAGTTACTCGTGTAATTGTTACAAACCCATGTTTTTTTTTTTTTCTAGGGCGTTGTGCTGGGCATTTCTGTTGTCCAGGCAGGAACGTTTCATGCTATGTTGAAGACTGCTACTGTGACCAAGCATGCACTATACCTTTAGACTGTTGTGAGGATTATTTTGCTGTATGTGAACAAGGTAATTCCATTTGATAGAATTTTAGAAACATATAGAACTTGCTTGTTCAACTTTATATTAGAAACTTTAACAAAACAAATGTGATGAAGAAAACATGCAAGACACCTGTGATTTACAATGTGTAGATTTTGGAACAATGAGATAATTCCCATACAGTATATCTACTAGTTGGGAATTGGAAACACGGGCACATTTTGATATAATTGCCATTATCTATAGTGTGAATTAAGATAATAGTTGAATGTTGATGATGTGTTATTGTTATATTTATTGCCCTAAGGTCAGAATCACTATTGTACATACAGTGCCTTACAAAAGTATTCAGGCCCTTCCTATGATGTCTTATTTTGTGAAGTAACAAAATTATGCATATACATTTTTTAAACTTACATATTTTCTTCACAACCTAAATTCTTAAACTGAAGACTTCTACTGATAAAATATGTTGTGGTAAAAGTCAGCAAAGACTAACCAGAAAAACCTGAAATTTGTAGAACTCAGATATTGTCACGCCCTCTGCAGCCAGAGGGCGCTCCTTCTCTGTCCTGTCCCTAGTTTCTAGTCTGCTGTCCTTCCTGTCCCTCTCTTCCTTTGGCTATATATTTCCGGGTCTTGCACTCTGTCCTGGCTCAGCATTGTTGTTCGGATGTCCTGAGACCCGCCTAGCACCAGGGCGCCCCACGTCTGCTCCCTGAGGGCATAGGTTTCTATACGGCATTCCTGAACTCTTTGCACTAATGAGCCCGGGCCTTTTTCCCGTCTCGCCGCTACGCATATGGGTCTTTTTCCGCTCTCCTGCTCCCCACGGTTAGTCCCTTTGGACGTCCGTGACAGATATGAGTTCTCAGTACTCAGTGGAAGCACCTTTGTTAGCAATTACATCCATAAATCTTTTTGTGCAATAATAATAATAATAATAATAATAATTAATAATAACAATAATAACAATAAATTATTATTATCATTATCATTATTATTATTGTTATTATTATTAATAATAATAAATTGCTTTTTTTTAATTATGATTATGATTAATATTATAGCACCCCTGTTAGCAATTACAGCCACAAATCTTTTTCTGCAAGTCGTAACCAACTGAAAAATTATATAACACGTTAAGAAGGCTCAACAGGCCTAATGTTGTGTTTCTTCTTTCTATCTTTCAGTGTGGAATGAACTATAACAGTTTTATGAGTGGTATATTTTGTTGGGTTTGTGTGGTTTGTGTCACACATAATGCAGTATTTTGCATTTACTTCCCATTTCGTCTTGTCTGACCAACACAACACTTTACCACGTTTGCAGCATGACTTACTGTCACTGATGTCGAAAGGGCATACCGTGGAATGACATGGAGATCAGTAGAGGCCTTATGCGTAGCAGCAAAGGACTTTGAATTCTGTATTTCTTTCAGAGACTGCATTGGTTTCAGAGTTGTGTCCCTAACCAGTTTCTTCTTTGCCTGGCAGCTGAGTTTGGAGAGACAGCCTGGTCCATGTTGCCTTCCCCTTCTTAATAATTGACTTTGTCATATATTGAGTGTGTATGAAAAATATTGATACCTTTCCTGTGCTTTTTTGTGCTTTTATATAGCTTCATCATTGGATTGTTTAGAAAGCTCCAGGGTCTTAATGGTTTAATCTTTGCTTGACATTCTTACCTGACTGAGGAAACTCATAGAGACAGCCCCATTTATTCTAATATCATATTTATCACTATTATTGCACACAGAGAGAGGAAGCTCCAGTACTGTGATTTTGTGTGACTCATTAATGGAACTTTATGCACCTAAATTTAGTTTTGATCATTGATTGTTTGAAATCATAATAACCAAAATTATCACCAAAACAATACATAGTTTGGGAAACAAGTTACCCTTGTAGCAGCATTTATTTGTATTGAATTCCTAAACAATTTGATTGCATGGTGAATTTAATTGATGTAATCTCACTATTTGAAAATGTATTCATGTTTCCATGAATATTCATATTCATATTTCTAAATAATCATGTTTTTTTTTTTCAAAGCAACCTCAACTACGACAGCAGGATCTCTTCCCAGAACCCAAACTACTATATTTTCTACCACAACAACACCTGTATCAACTCCTTCAACTACAACAACACCAGAATGTATAACAGCTCCTCAGTCTTTACCTACCACCACAACAGCTACATCTCCCGCCACAACCTCATGTCCCTCAACGATCACAGCGACACCTCCCTCCAGAAGCACATCTCCCTCCGACATGAGAACTACTCCTCCTTCAACAATTTCAAACCCCCTCACAACCACAGATACACCTCCCCCTGCAAGCTCATCTCCCCCCACACCCACGATTATACCTCCTTCCAGAGTTACACCTCCTCTGACTAACTCATCTTCCCTCACAACTACATCTAACCCCACAACCAAAACTATACCTCCCCTTACAACCTCATCTTCCCCCACAACCACAGTTATAACACCATCCATACCTACACCTCCTCTCACAACCTCATCTTCCCCCACAAGCCCATCTGTCTCCACAACATCTTCTCCCCTCAACACCACAACTACACCTCTCTCCTCAATATCATCCTCCCACAACACCACAACTACACCTCTCTCCACAACCTCATCTCTCCCCA